CGAACTGATCAGACAGATGTTATTCAATATGCAAATGCTGGACAGTTATTGATTGCACAAGTTCCTGCCGATGCTATTGTTCCTGGGTTAGTTCATTGGGGTTTATCCATCCCTCATAAATTACTTTTGCATTTGAATAAAATCTAACTTAAAATTTTTGTTCACTTCCCCTTTTCATTGTTTACTTCGAAAGCATATACTCGAATCTAGTCTTAGAGCTCAACAAGATATTAAAGAGGCAATAAATCCAAATTTAAACATTAAAATAAGAAAAACCAAAATAGCAGCGGCAATAAAATGAAAATAATATATCCATTAGTGGCGAAAACAAAAATTTAATCAAAATTGTGTTTATCTTGGGAGAGAATCATTTTAAATTAATAACTGCAGTACAAAATTTAATGCTATTTCCTGTTTATACTCTGGAAAGGTGGGAAATAAATGTTGCTCATCTTTGATATATTTCTTTTTTATAGCTTATCTAGTTTTGGTGACTGTTTTCAAGTTTCTTGTTATACGTTCAGTATTCGATTTTTATTTGAACCTTGCACATTGCAGTTGTATTGGTTCTTCGCTAATTCGCTCGGCTGAGATTGGTCAAAGAGCTATTCTTCAACGCATGGCAGATGTAGATATGGTGGTGCTTATGGGAAGTGAGAGTGCTCCAAGTAAGGAGAAAGATATGATTGCTGGATCAAAGGAACAAATATTATATAGCGCCCTATCGATGGTTTGTTTTTAAATTATAAACTGAAATCAAAGAACTTGCTTAGAAACTAAATCTTCTACGATATTACAATATGAACAATAAATGATGGAAATGATATTTTAATTTGTAAAATTGTTTCAGTACAAGTCAAGATAAGTCAGGTTCGAAAACTAGTAATAGATAGTTTAAAGAAAGGATTGCTTGGTAGGAAAGCTTACCGATCCTGGCATGAAGAGAACAAGGAAAAATTTGACAGATGTGTGTTGCAAAATTTTCTTTGGTCTTGGTGTTGATTAACAGAAGAATTGAAGTCAAACTTTAATTGCAGTATAACAATAACTTTCGGTTGAGAAAGCTGCCAAAATTTTTGAAAGGTGGTTTTGAAAATTGGCGTTTGTATTATCCAATGCATACATCTACAAAGTCTGCTATGCGAAAGAAATTTGTGGATATTGCAAATCGTACTGAATTTGCTAGGGCTGTTGCTGAATACAAAAAAGGTTTCTTTTTGTGTTAAAAATTCTTTACCCTGCTGATAAGTTCACAATATCTCATATTAGTTTCTAATTTTTTCAGATTTTGGGATTGATTCTTTAGAATACCCTCAATTACTGCCAACGATTTATCCTAAAACAAGTGGATTGTCGATGCCCCATTCAAGTATTTCTGATAGTGTTGTGCATCACATGGGACAATCTTCGTTTTATTCCTCAATGTTAATGGAATCTGCAGGTATATTTGAAGTTTTGGAGTAGTCAGTTTATCATTGCCGATTTGAAATTAGTACTTTATGCTACATAGACTTGAAAACGCATTTATAATCTGAAAACTTTGCCTCAGGAATTTATTTTCTTAATATTACTTTAATACTTTTAGTACACTTTTAGATACTTAAAAAGAACTTCGATGTGGTTTTACAGACATTTCTGGCAGATCTTCAATATCATCCTTGTGCTCAACGCTTCCAGCAAATGATGGATTACTTGACGTTAGGATAAATACTACAGATATAGTAAATGAATCATTAGCTGTAAATGATTCAAACATTACGGAGACTGCAGTTCCCTCGGTCTGCCGAAATACGATTAAAAAGTTGAATTCTCAAATTGATGTTCCTGCACTTCAATCTCACCAACCTCCTGTAATTGATCGAAGTAAAAAACCGCCTTCAGAGGTATGTGCAAAATATATTGTTATTAAAGAAAATAAAAGAATAGTTTTGTTTTTACATTCTAGCACATTTTAGTGAATTTTGGAATTCTTAACACATGAATGAGATCTGCTTTAACTTTATTCATCTATTAGGATATTTTTTGTTTCAGTTATATATTATTTTGCTCAGTGTCGCTTCATAGCTGTCTCGACTTTTACTTGAAAAATGTGAATCATATTGGTTGTTGATATCGGTATATTTTCGATCACTGTTCTCAGTTTTTATTTCTCGAATTACTTAATAACATTATTTCAGTTATCTGCACATAAGGAAAAAGCCTCGTCTGAGAAATCTTTTCCAATTAGACCGACTCAAACAGTGTTTGGTGGTGCAAAATTACACGGTGCAAGGCTAGTCTTTTTTTTATTCCTGTTCATATTTTTGAATCTATGCTCTGTATATTTTAATATTTTAGCTCAAAACGAACTCCGGTTAATGTTCCAGTCATACCAGACAGACTACTGAAACCACAATTACTTTCAAGGTATATATAGAATTTGTTTATATTGATTTTAATGAATGACATCTGAACAGTTAGATTGTGAGCTATTCACGTTTTACAACCATGTCGCTGATAATTCAATAGTTAGGTTTCCTTACTTAGTTAAATTGCAATAGTGGAGCTTTCAGATAACCTTACAGTTACCTAGAAAACATGAGATATCTAAATTTTTTTCAGCGATGGCTCGCACCAGCTTTTACATTTATATGAATCTATGATGAATATTCTCAGTGTCTCTGCGGTTTCTCGAAGCTGTGTAAGCTTTCATGCCATTGCACTTAATTCATGAATTTTAGCATTTTTTTTGAAAATACCGTTTTTTATACATTTTTGAATTTTTCGCATTTAGAATCCCGGATATACTGGTTTGTACAATTTGGGAAATACATGCTTCATGAACTCCGTGTTACAAACTTTATTCAATACAATTCCGCTGCGACGTATTTTCACTAAAAACGAATTTGTCAAATATGTTAACAGGCACTTTTTTAAGATCAGCAGTTTTGTACTATTTTTTTCATGGCAGTAATATTCCATCTTTGCTGATAAGTTATTTTCGTCAATGTTCCTATGTTTCAAGAAAAGGTGAAAATTCTTTTAGGACTAATAAAATGGGAACAATGGGTGTAATATCGTCAGTATTTTCGGCGATGATGGATTCTGCTTGGAGTGGATTATTCAGTGTTCTTCGTCCTCAGCAGTTTCTTGTATTTTTTTAACAGTTTTGATCTCAAGACAAAAGTACACAGGCAAACTGCTATATACAGTGATCTGTTTTAATTTATGAAACCTTATTGAGGAGACGTTTGCCGCTGAAGTGAATGCTTCTTTGGCTGATGGTCAGCAACACGATGCACAAGAATTTCAGATTTATTTACTTGACGCACTACATGAAGATACGAATCGAGTAATTTTCAGTAATTTCTTTCTGTGTAATTTTTTGGTCCAGCTTACAAAAAAGACTAAACGATGATAGCTATTATGTGATCTTTTAATATTCATGCAAAGATGAATGTATTTTTCTTAATTTTCAAATAAGTTGATTTTCTGTTAGATGCGATGAAATTTGTTGTAGGTAGTGAAACGCGTAACATTTGAACAGAATTATACTGGAGCAGATTTGAAATCAGAAGCAGCCGATTATAATGAAAAATTAAGAAGGTTTGCCTGCTCACCAATCAGCGATATTTTTAATGTTAGTCGTTTTTCCTATGTGACTAACACTTTTTTCAATTCCGCATCTTTTTTTCAGTACTTATTTCAAAAAGTTGATAACTATAATGTAGCAATCCTTGTTGCTACACTAGTTTTCATGCTGTTTATATGCAGTGTTTGAATTTCTGCAGATATTGAACTTATGTATCAGTTCGCAATACTTTATGCTGCAGAAAAACTGAAATTTCCTTCACTTATAATTTTAAATAGCCGTGTTCTTTGGAAAATGGTGAAGATGTCTTTGCATTGGCATGCGATACAGCAGCTTATGGTGTTTTTAAAAATGCAATTTTGCTTAGCAATTATAAGCGGAGCAAATCCTTTTAACTTGCATAATGGTGACCAAGTTGTATTTTATTAATTGTAGATAGTGAAAAGCGGCTCTCCATTCATTAGATCAGCTCAAAGCGTTTTAACAGTTATAAAATAAATGTTTTTAGTGTCAAACAGTATCAAGTTTGCAATGCAATAAATGCAAAAGACAAAGTGTTACATTCGAAGAATTGGCTCAACTGTCAATTGAAGTGCCAAATCGGAATTCAACAATTGAGGACTGTATACGGAATCATTTTCAAGATGTGGTTCGCTTTTTAAAAGAATTGTAGTTCATAACTTGATTTATCTGTTACCTGACACCTTACAATGAATATTTACAAATTTTTATTGGTTTATAGGAGCTTGATGGTTCATGTAAATGGCGCTGCCCTGATTGTGAGTCTTTACAGACTGCAACTCGTAGAACATTTTTATGGAAGCTACCTCAAGTTTTGGTTCTTTGTTTTTCTTACACTTATAACATATTTACGACTTACAGAAATATTTAATAATAGTTTCGATGCAATACTCTCTTATTGTATTTTGCATCTGCCAATCATTGTCTAAATGATGAATGATTTGAATTATTATTAGAAATGAGTTGGAAAGCTTGTCAATTTGTATTTATTTTCGTGTCATGTATTTGCAGCTGATATGTGCTGATATGTAAAATGATCGCATTTTGAATTCTCACTTAATTTTAGGTCATACATCTGAAACGTTTTACTTTTATGGGAGATAATTGGCAAAAGAATGATGCGTACGTAACATTCAACACGTTTCCACTAAAGTTGCAGACTGAATATTTCAGCTTGTATGCTGTTGTTGTAAGTTGTGTATTATTGTTTTACTAGCTAAACTTTCTGGTTGTTCTTTTTTTCCCTTCTCGAATGTTAGAATTATTTTTCGGTGAAAAAATTTTCGCAGTTAAATCATAACGTAATTGTTACTTAATTCAGTAAGTTTTGATTATCAATCATACACTTCCAAAATGCAAATTTGATCACTTTCTATTTCAGTAGTTACTATTTCATGATTTAAGTGGTTGTCAAAAAATTTGGAATACATCATTATTGTTCTTCTGTATCCCTGTAATCATTTACAGGATTATTGTCAAACGCCTTAAAGTGCTGCATTTATAACGCTTTATATACAAGTTTCAGAACCACAGAGGAAGTTTGAATAGCGGACATTACACAGCAACAGTCCGTAATCAAATCACTAAACAGTGGCTACTCTTCGACGACGATATTGTTACACCAATAGATGTGGATTCAATATGCTCGAAGTATGCCTTTATCTTATATTTTCAGAAAGATTCTCTTTCGAAGATCTTGTGATTTGTTGAAATTAATTCATGTATTATTAAAGTCATTTGAAAAATGATTCATTGGGAATCATAATGGAACTGGTTATTTTCATTTCCAGTTATTGTCATTTTACTACGTAAATCCTTAGCAAAGTTTTCTTTGAGACTGCAACTTCAATCAAATTCATATTTGGTCATTAGGTTATAAGTCCATATCATTTTGTTGTTCTTTACCGTTATTGTCATTCTTGTTCTCATTCTTGCATTATATCATTTCATTATTTTAACATCCAGTCTAATCTTTTGTCTTGTGGTGCTTTTTTGTGTTTTTTTTCTACATTAATTGCTATAATTTCGAACCCTAAATTTCATTATTTATTATTCTACTCATATTTCTTTGTTATCAGTTATGACTTGATTATTTCTGTTAAATCTCGTATTTTTTGTTTCTTATTGGTTGCACTTTTTTGCTCACACCGTTTAACGGTCTACTACTGCTCACTCTTTCGACTGATATTGTGTTTGAATAGAACTAAATTCACTCAGTTTGAAAAGTAGAATTTTGTTTTGAGCCGTTGTTTTTTGTTGAAGCAAGCGAGCAGTATTGTAACATCCTAACTATGGTGCCTTTTTTAGTTCTAGTTTTTGTTATTTATGCATAACTTCATGTCCTAAATTGTGTACAGCTTGTATGACAGGTTACTATACTACATAAGTCTTTTTCTGCGGACTTATGTTCGTTTGATTTGAATTATTTATTATAGAACCGCTAATAGATCGCATATCATTTCTGTGCATAAATTATGATTGTTTATATTGAAAATTTATAATTTGTTTAATATCTTTAATTTGCCGTTAGTAAAACACATCAATTGCATCAATTGCTGTTGCATATTTGTTAGAAAAGAAAGGAAAATGAAGGTCTAAGTTGCTAAAACAGGTTCTCACTGAAATTATCCGCCATTATCGAAAAATTCAGAGTTTCAGATGTTTGGTTGTATGAAAGAATGTAGCAAAGCCTACTTATCCGTTTCAGAATTATTAATTGTTAAAATAGTTGATTTATGCTTTTTAACTTAGATGACAAGTTTTTTGTCGTTATGTCAACAATTAGCAAATTTCAAGCTACAACTGTTTAGGTTGACAGTTCAAGTTTCCAAAAAGTAGATGTACCCTTTACTGACTACTGCTGAACTGAGTATTATTTTACCATTTTCGTTTTAAACAAGCTATTCATCTAATTATTTTGATTTTAAGCAAACTGTTTGTGTAGCAGACTTTACTTGATCAATAGAGTAGGTGGAAGCATATATTTTCTCTGTTCATATAAATATGGTAAGAAATTTATGGAATGGAGAATGAAAGCATTATTCTACGGCTATGTAATGACTAATAGTGATTATCAGTAATAACTATTGATAAAAAAGGAAAAGAAGGGATTGGAATATAGCAGAAGTTCAAAAACACTAGTAAAGGTTTCAACATATTGATCTGTGCATACATAATATAAACTTCTTAATTTGAATATCATTAATTTGCACAAAACTGCGAAAAATTAAGCAAATACCTGACGACGTATTTTTTAAAAAATCGTTTAGTATTTTATTACTCTAATCAAACTTATCAATGTCGAATCCTTATTGTAATTGTTACGATTTCTTTCCAAGTTCAATTTGAATTAAAATTTAGTTTGAAATAAACCATAAATCAATTCATAGCTAACATTATATCACCTAAAGATATTATAACCATTAGCAGTTATTCATCATCCGTGCAACTTAATTTTTAATTGACAAAAATTTGTCATTCGGGAGAATATGCGTTAATACATTTAAAAATTCCCAATATCAATCAGTGACACATACAATCGTTATGTCACTAAGAAAGTGTTCATTAAAATTTTAACAATGGTAAATAAAATGAGTATGGATTCTGAATTAGATTTTGAAATGGAATCAAATTATCTCTCTGCTAAGTAATTTCGAATATTTTGATGATATTAAAAAATATATAAAAATATATAACATCGTTAAGGGCACCAATTGATTTTAATTAATATATGATAATACATTATGTATGAGAAATATCATTAAAAGTTAATGATTTGCCTTTATTAGGGTGAGGTTTCACTGTGCCAAATATTAGCAGTAAGAAATTTGCTGGTATTACGAAATGATTACTTATCATCTATCAAGAAATGGTTATTTAAAGCAATATTATGGAAAGAGAAAAAGAAAAGTAGCATGATACGGTGAAGTATTGTAAAGTGTTAAAGTAGAAATTTCGGTTACACTTATGATTTATTGTACATTAGTCTCAAAAAAAAATGAAAAAAAAAACGGAGAGTTATAGGAACAAAGATAGTCCTAACTATATGTTTTCTAGCGGATAAATACCGCAAAACCGGAAAGCAGAAACTACCGTTATATGCAGGAAAAGGAAGAGAGGACATAATTGGTTTTGAAAACTTGTTTGCGTTTAGGTGATGAGAAGGATAGGAATGAAATAGACGTATACATGCATCTTTGAAGACGTTTCTATTTCTCACCTCTTGGCAACTTCAAAATTTTACCCCAATTGCATAGAAATTTTTGCTGGAATTGCTGTACTACTTATTATTGCCCAGCGGCGCACAAATTATCGTTACCGCCTATCATTGCCGTTCCTGCTATATACCTGTTCAAAAATTACCTTTTACAGACAGATATTCTTTTAAATCAAAAAGCAAACACTTTTTTTTTCAACAATTCAAATACTGTTTGAAAGAGCTGTCTCCAATTGTGTGTATTCCTCATGATTCTTTTTCTAAAAAGAATTTTTAAAAAAATGAAAATTTTGTTTTTATTTTTCAAAATTCTTTGTATCATAGCATTATTATTATTAGTTTCTCTATCAGACATTTGCTACATTCATATAGTTTCTATAAAAGTTTTTGAAATATTATAGTTTGGTTTTTAGAATATGAATTGAGTGGATTACGTGTACTCTATTGCGTATGAGCAGAAATATACGTGAACCATTGTGACTAAAAGCGATTTTTTTCCAGCTTCTTTTTTTATTTGTTTTTCTTCTTCACTTTTTAAATTCCATAGATCTTTTGTTGGCATGCACTATTTTTAAATTACTTCATATTTAATTTCATTACTTTTTTTTTCTCTAACTTCTTGCCAACTTTTTTTACTGGTTACTGTCTCTGTTACGATAATATTTATTAATTCTTTTTTAAATAATCAAACAGATAATAGAAAATGCTCAATTTTTTTTTGAAGTGAATGGTTATTTCAACAATGCTAACTACAACAATGCAATTGCTTATCTTGCAAACATTTCTATCCCTTGTTGCGATGACCTTCGCTCAACGATCACGTAAGTTTCAAAAAAAACATTTTTGAATTTTAAATTAGTGAATAACAACATCAATTCCATGTTTTCACTATTAGTTCGCTATTTTCCTTATTTCTGGTTTCTAATTAAACAATTTTAATTGGGTTTGCAATTGTAGGATTAAATTGCTGAAATTTAACAAAATTGAAATGTGGTCATATATCAAAGTAAAAATAATCACATTCACTTTGTCACCATTAGAGCATTACTCAGTTGATTTTCAAATTGCAACAACTCCCCACTTTTTCAACTTCGTCGTGATAATTATGCATCTTTGAAGATATTCTCATGCTGCTGTTAAATTCAATTTTCCATCAAAATTTGAGGTTAAATCTTCTCTTTGTCACAACAGTGAATTTTTTCTCCTCGCAGAAAGGTATTAATGTAAATGGAAATTATATGCATATTCTTTAGAATACTTAACAATGAACCAGCAATCCCTTTCTATTGATTTGTTCATGAAGTAATTTCAAATTTGAAATCTGCAAACAGTATTATTTAAAAAAAATTAACAATCTAATTATTATCATTTAAGAAAGAAAGACCAAATTCTTCATAATGAAGCCCATTTTAAAATTAAATTGTGCGAAAATGTAATTTTGAGTGAAAATTAATTTTGAGTGAAAAAATTCACTGCTACATGCGTGATAGGTTTTATTGTGACTGATTGAATTTTTAATTCACTCAGTTCACAGTAGAACGTTCTCCATTATAATGTTAATGATACTGATTAAATTATCCTTTAAATCATTGTCAAGAGGATGAAGAATGAACGTTAATTGAAGTAAATGATACATATATGATAAAAGTAATTTTCTGCTTTTAATTTATTAAAAATTTTATCGTCCAAAAATATTTTCTTTAATTTCAGTTGCTTATTGCACATAATCTTAGCTATCAAACTTTTATACAACCTTATTTCTATCAAATTTTGAATTAAGAGATTTTTCAACTGATTAAGAATTCAGCGTTCCATTATATTAGAAATATTTGCGATTCATACATTTTGTGGAAAATTTTGCTTTGTTCACGAATTATTGGGAAGTTTTATTTAGTTTGTTATAAAATTTCATTACAGATGTATGCAAATTAATTTGCAAAATTGATTGCTTTTTTTGGCATTTGAAATATTTTTTTAGATTTTTATAGAAAATTGAAGAGTTATATTAAAATTATTAAAATGAATTAGAGCTCAAAAAAGCTGAAGTTACTTTATTTCAGGAAATCAGAAAGCAGTAATTGCGGATTTGGGTAAACTAATTGTCGACAATTGTCCACCAATGTTATGTACCGGTCTGGATTGTGCCGTTGTTACGGAAAGAAACGGTTGTCAGGTATTTTATGCTATCAATAATCAATCTAAGCTTTTTTTATTATTACAGATATTTTTCTTGTGTAATTTACTTTATAAGCGCTTTTTTCCTATTTGATTATCATTTCACATTTCAAAAATGATGAAAATATTCCTTATCATTAGCTCCCTTTCATGCATCTCTAAGTCATTTTCACAACTCGTAATTGAATCAATTCAAATTAATTGTTTGCAAATATCATTCTAACTTTCTTCGAAGAATATTGAGAACAGAAATAGCAAGGCTTTACGTCTTTTTGTAAGTGAAAAAAAGTTAAAAGTAAATGAAATTTAGTAATAAATGGGAACAAAAAAAATATTTGATATTTCGAAAATAAATTCATATTGCTAAATTAAAGCAAACCAGCTATGATGTAATAAAAAATGAAACACTATCATCTTTTCGGAATTGTTTTCCCTGCACATAAATGAATTCAATGACTGAATTTGGAACAAAAATGTTCAAAAACTTTTTTGCCTTATTACCTCTGGTCCGTCATTACTTTTCTTTTATGAAATAATAGTAGTGATAAGTATTCGTTGTTAAACTCATATAGGAATTGCTTATTTCTTCTCTTCATTGATTCATTTCTCTAAAAGAATAACCCTTCTGTAATTCTGAAATTATAAATAATTTCCTTTTTTATTAACGGTTTTACGGTATTTCAATTAGCTTGGAATGATATTTACGATGATCATAAAGATCATTAGTACTTTTATAGAAAAAGAACAAAACTGGTTACCACTTTTTTGTAGTATTTATATTGCAACCTTTTAAAACAATTAACAATCTTATCAATTGCAAAAATTTTTTATCGTATTATGCTCATGATTTATAACTTTATGCTAATCTATAATTTCATATTTTGAAGTTTTGTAAATAGGCTTTAATTAATATTTATAATGCCTGCATTGTTACGTAAGAGTTTTTTTAATGATTTTTGGGAGATGAATAGTGATAGCACATTTACGGCACACCTATAATTGTGACCTTCATTTGAAAGATAAAAGTGAATGATAGGAATCTCCTTTGTCCTCCTATATATTGTGCAAGTGCTGCCAACTTCCATTTCGGAATGTGATAGATCGTTTTCATAATAAATGAAAAAACAATAACAATTATAATTGCTTCCATTTCGGACTACTTCGACGATCCTTTTCTGTCATCCAAATAGCTGATACTAAAATCTAGAATCAACCAAAACATAGATTCTAGCACCACGTTACAGAATGACACTAACGTGGAAATTGATGGAACTGTAATTATAGGAGAGATATTAACTTTTATCAAAGTAACTCAAAACGTGAGAGGAGCGAAATTTATTTGATCGAAGCCGATGACCTAGATGAAACTATGCTAATATTGCTGTCATAACCAGTATCAATCTAAATCTAACAATTAAATATTTAAATCTAGGATGTTAAACTAGTTTAGATGATAAGTGGTCAGTAAAAAGTACAAATACCTTGAGAGTATTTTTCGAAGCATAAATTTAAAAAAAATCTTTTGATAAATAAAATAAAAAGTGATTCTGAAAATGAATTTCATGACAAATGTTTCTGCATCATAATACTTTCAAAAATATTTGTGTCTATTCGAGTGTCTCAAAAATGAAAACTCATTTATGCTGAAGATAAAGTTATAACATTTCATCATTATTCAGAGCAGATGAGACTTTTTGTGAAGTTAAGAAACTGAATTTTTAAATGAAACGAAAATTCAAAGTGATTATAAAATATTCTTTTAATTTTCATAGTCATAAATTTTACACATATCAATAATGGATTTATTGTTTAATCAAAGGAATTTGTATTGATTAGACATTGATGAAATGTGAAATGTGATATGGGAGAAAAAATGGATGGATTTATTGATAGGTATTGAGAACATTCAAAAATCAGGGAGAATTGGATAGGACGACTATTATGGTATTCCTAAAAAAATCACATGAAAAATTGTGACCCAAAAATAATGGAAATTTCAAAATCCCTTTTACTGGCATTTAAATAATTCATTTCTTTTCATAATTCTCATGTAATTTTAACTAAATTTCAATGCAGGGACAAGGAAATCAAGTTAAAATAATTGCAACCATGATAGGTCCAGTAGTCTTCAATTTAATACTTTTTTCATGGATCATTTAACTTGAAATTCAAACCTGAAGTTTTTGCAATATTTGAAAATGTGCATATTTTCTATTGAAGACAGGAGAATTCGAGTATAATATATTTTAGCAATTTCAGAAATATAGCTTTTTTTTTTCTGGAGACGAAAACAATTAATTTTGAATTATTATTTTTCACAACTACAACCAAAGTGTATCAAAATTTTTTTTATCATGTTATTTTGTGCACTGATAAAAACCATTTCTTGCATGCAATGAAATATTTCTCCCTAATGATAAAAAGAAGCTGCACTGATGTCATTCAATATGAAAAATTGATTCAAGTCTTAAATTAAATTTTACTCTTCGTTTTCAATCTCCGGATATTTTCTTACAAAAATTATAGATCCTTATCTCACCTATATAGAAGCGAATAATGCGGAAATTGATTAGCAAATAATTTGATTAACTCATTTTACAACATCAAAACGCTTTTCCTTTCGATTCTTAAATTCTATTTAGCAATCTCAACATTTTAAGTATGTTATCCCTTGCGTATATAATAAAATCTAAATGTATGTAAAGTTAAATTAAAACGTAAATGGGGAATATCTCAGTTATGCGCCTGTCCTATTGGTTCACCAGCCCGAGGATGCGATCCTATGCCATTTATTCTATGGCATGATCTAATTGTTAACGGATGTCCAAATGTTACTGTCAATAGTCGTGATCCTGCACAGAAAGTTCATCGATGGTTTCGAAGGGTAAAGTTTTGACAGCTATTGAAATTATATAAATGAACTCTAAATGTCAGTCGTTTAAACAAACAAACACCACCATTTTATTATAAAATATTTCAATATTTTATAACCCCGAGACAAGATTTTTTAAATCATGAAAACTATCGATTAATATTAATCATTTTTTGTATTGTGATACCTTTAAATAATTTCCAGGTGAATCGATTCTCAAATACAGATCAGTGTGAACCATACATATTCCCATATTGTGCTGAATTAGATTTCAATTTATGGCGTTCACCGAGGACTAAACGAGAATGCGAACTTTACTGTTATTCATTAGCGGAACAACGAAAACGTGGAGTCATTTAAATTGCAGTTTCTTTTTTATTTATTCACATTACATTTAGAACATAATGCACCTTTCCTGTTCCTTGTTGAATGAAAAAAAAATGCAACGCTAAAATCGACATGCTTATGATTGCATGCTTTAAATTGATTCGAAGAGAAGATTCTTAATGGCATACCACCTATCGTTTATATTCGGTACGATTACTTTATTCCTCACGTTTATTATCTTAGAACATGTTTCGAACTAGCAGAAAGTGCATACCAATGCAGTGATACCGAACCTTCCCTATCCTCTCATTTCGCTCTGAGCTTCCAAGTTTTTGTGAATTTAGTGGCCTAATGTATTACTCGTACAAACATTCTGTGAATTTAGTGGCTTAATGTATTTATTACTCGTAGAAAGTATAAGTTTTTTATAGTTTTTACAACTCTTTTCCCAAAACTCATATAAAGTTTTTTTTCTAATACAGTTCTCAGAAAATCCAATAATATTTATGGCATAAATGACTAACTATACATATTGATTTAATAATTTGACGGAAATCCAATTGAATGCCTGAAGAAACATTTTGTCCAGTTCGGCACAGTTATCGTTTATAAACAAATCACTACTGAAATTTTTGTTCATGGAAATCCGAAAAATTTTTATCGATGTAAAAATTTATGCAACGTTCGTCGAAATCTGATAAGTTGTACTTTGAATGCTGGCCAAAAAAGTCTGATGTTTCTATAATACCATTCTCTAAAAACAGAAAAAGCAATAATTTACAGCACTGCACCTTTTTCATTTATTTTTCTTAAACATAAACAACAATTAATTGGTTAAGAAATATTATATATGGATTTGCTAATAACTGCTGTTCAAAAATATACCTGTTGTAGCTGGTAAGACTATCATACTGTTTGTCGAGAAACTCCTTATAGAATTCAGACATATCAACAGCACTTGGATGCTCCAGCCTTCCAAGATTTTTCTTTCTCTGGAAAAATTAATCATTCAGATTTCTATATGCAAGGAATAAACTATATCTCCTTGACTTCTTCAGTCACCAAAGGACTGAAAAAGTGGCTGAAGTTTACAAGATAATGCAAGAGAAACTTTCAATACAAGCGCCAAACCTGTTCAACAAATTCTGCTTTTTTCTTTTCAAACAAAATATTATGATGCATCCAAAATTGTGAACTCCATTGAATTAATGCTTCGCGTGCTTCACGGTACTTTCTTTCCTGCTCCGTCTCATTGATTAAGCGACGCAATCTCAAATACATGAAACATGCAAATAGTTTTGAGAAATCCACCTCTCTTTCCATTTTATTGTAGCCAATATTAGTTGAAAGTGATGGACAACGTCCAAATATATCTTTCAAATAACAGAATCAACCAACATGACTACGAATGCGAGTTTCACAAGTAACCGATTTTATAAATTAAGAAATGATTTAACACGAACCTAACAGGCCTTATTTTTGAAATGTCGTCCGGTGGTCCAACCCAATCGAATCTTTTATCCAAACGTAAATCTCTTATCGACTCCTTCCCTAAATTTTTTTCTGCTTGTCCTTTTTGGGGCATAAAATCTGAAGATATTGGAACACATTGCATCAAACTATGTAAACTATAGCTCAATGAAGCAATATAGACAGAACCATGAACTAGCATTATAAAAGAATGAGATTACTCGAGATAGCAATTAATGTGCAGAGATCTAAGACTTAGTGTTTCAGAAATGTTTTATTCTACAAACAGTTAACAACAGTAAAACAATATAAATATCAGCTCAGACACTTTCAGCATCCGAACTTCTAGACAAATCTTCTCTCAGCAACGCGAACATCCTCTCATATTCTTGCATATTATGTCTGAAACGAATAATTCATAAAAAATGCATCATGCAAAACTTCAATTTCAAAACAAAGAAGCACATTAAAACACATTAAAGCACATTAAAACACATTAAAACACTTTTTTTTAAAAAAAAGCAAATCAAACTAACATTACGAGCAAAACTGGGCCTAATAATTCCATTGTATTTGTCAAATGACGCAAGTAACTCCTCGTATAATGTGTACAAGTGTAACAATTACAATCCTTACAAAGAGGTCTAAAATCTTCTGAATACCTGAAACAGTCAAATAAGCGATAAATTGGCAGTTAAAATATATAAACATAAAATGTAGTGATTGTTATAAGGACAAATACAAGAATCCAATAACAAAAGAGTTTTTTTTGTTAAGAATTTCATGTCAAATGCAGAAGACAATTTCAAACTTTTACAAATTTAAATACATAAATGATTTGTTAGTCATTGATGTTCAGTGATTCAAATGTTATGCAAACAAGAAGCAAACATTTTTTTAAATCACTTGTTTACATTAAGAATCTGCAATTAATGAAAACATACAACGGATCAGTGAAATCAAACACGCTGAAAGTCGCCTCTTTTGGAAAATTTTCTCCACAAACAAATGCTTTTCCTTGTTCGGCAAGAAAAATAGCATAGGACGAGTCGAATAAATCTACACCAAGATGCGTTAAAGCAACTACTTCCGTCGGCGAAAATGCTCCATTAACTAAACGTAAGTGAGAAGACGGTATGTTAGGCTGAAATATTTTAACTTGATGCTACAGTTATCCTCATATTTAAATTTTAAGAATAGTCCCAAAACTAGAATAGAGAGAGATGCTTGATGAGATCATAATCTTTGTTGAAATAGGAACTGCGAGGTTTCAGAAAGTTAAAACTAAATAGATCACCGTAATTGAATTTTAAGTCTTAAGATGGAGATAAACAACATTGCTGTCATTATCTCAAAATAAAACAGTTTCAGTAAAGAAGTAACTTACCCACACACCAGCTAGTAAATTCTTGATAATATTCTTATCAAATTCACTTTCTGTGATAATCGGGTCTAAAGAATCAATATTTTCAGATGCTTCACAGTCAGAAGATTCTAGCTGAACCGTCATGTCAGTAGCATCCACTTTCGATACTTTTTTTACTTTCGATTTTTTTGGAACTACGCGAAGACGTTTTGCAAACTGCATTACATCCAAAACAAAACCACAGCCTTTTGGAAGTGAACCAATCGAAGATGCACAACGTTCATGATGAGATGGACTATGTCCACCACATAATGCAATTAATGCCGCTGGACCCTGAAATTTGAAACAAAATCTTTACAAATACAACCACGGCAATCAATTATCTTCATCTATGATTTAAAAAAAATCTGAAGAATCGCTTGGATTCAAAATGTCATACAGTGTGATTATTTAGCATGCAATATTCATTCCTAAAATCTCTGAGTTTGAGGCAATATAGTTTATGCTTGTCAATTTAAATGAAGGTGTGGCATTAAACACTTTGTTGGTATAACCAATATGATCATGTAAGTTCAACATTAACATATTATCTTAAATTAAAATGACTTCCTAAACAAAATAGTTTTAAGAAAAATATTTTCAATTTACTTCGCGAATAAAACATTCTGAAATCAACCTCAAAAGAATCGCTACGCAGTAATTCTCTCGAAAATCTGATTGTTCGTTCCAGTGCTTTTTCCAACCGTTTACTGGAGCATCCCTCTGGAGTACCATAATCAAATATTGTTTCGTAGGATGACACATGACTGAACCTTAGTAATTTCTTGACTGTTTCAATACTAACCTAAAAGAAACTAATAAGATTCTTTTTCGATATATAGCTAACGATTTTAGAACTGTCGCATCATCAATTCAGCAATAATGATGTAAACAGATATACAAGCTCCCGCCTTATCTTTAATACATAAGTAAAAAGAAACATAAATTTCGTCGTCCTCCCTTTGTCCATATTGCAATATTCCTGCCGTTATTGAATTTCATGCTTCGTTCCATCAAAGGATCCGTTAGTGTCAGATGAATTGGTGCATCTTCCTGTAAAAATCCTTATACACTGTCACAACATATTTTCAGCAATACTTTAAAACATAGGCCCTCACAAAATCCAAATCATTACTTAGCTGTATTGGAAAAGGTCAACAAACTTATAGGACAGAGCATACTAGAAGCTTCAGCAAAGCTATAGAGAAACTTTTGTAATATGGATAGACTTTCCACCTATAAAATCATACTGATTAAGTAAGTAATTTAAGAAAATATTAACTGGCATAGAGGCAAATCGAGCAATTCCTTTACCAAATTTTTCAATAACTGCCAGTGCTTCGAAACTATAAATGAAATGTATGAAAAAAAAACCTCTCAAAATTTAAACAGTATGTGTACTGAACATTTTATCCTTTTGAGCTTTATACAGCTGTCAAGGTCAGCAATTAGATTTACATTCTTGAAGCAAAAAAATCAAATATTTTCTTTGTTAAAACTAAAAAAGCTGAAAGGACTTTTGTAACTTTCGTAAAATAATCTTTTCTGTTACTGAAGCTTACAATGAAGGAAGAGTGAGTTGGTAAATAGGTGACTGCCGGTGTTTTAGATGTGCATTTGCTACATCCCATGTCAAATGTGGAATATGACCAGCACGCGTGTATACCATGCAAGATGGAGTTTCATGCTCTATAGTAACATTACCCCAATGAAAAATTTTTCCGATCCGTCCATTCACAGTACTTCGCTGTACCACAAATTTCATCATCTGAACAAAAAAGCATAATTTTCGGTTCACTCGATCCCCTGAAATTGTATATTGCGAGTACTTTGGATGATAGTTTTTAACTGAAATTGACGCTCAATTTTTCACAGAGACTTGAAAAAAGTTCTTTATTTATTACATCATAAATTATGGAACAAATTATTTGAAAATCAGTTTTTTAAATGTTTTGTGAAACAAAATAAATTCAAGCTAAATTTCACTTAATTATGAAAGCGCATTTAAATATACGCCTCACTTGTAAATAGGAAAGCAAAAAAACAATTTAAACAAAAGATAACTTAAATACTAGAAAAAAATCAAGATTCATGGAAAGACTTTAGATATTAGATGTTATAAGAATCTACTAAAGTCAATATCAAATCAGAAAAAAAAGGATTTGAAACTGCGATTTCTTCATTTTGATTTCAGCTTTTCCAGTAGTTTCTTCAATTCATTATCACTATCAATTCCCTTTGCCCACGATGGAGCAGGAAGAGTGAATGCTGACATCGTCTTCTTAATGCGTTCTATTTTATCTAAAACGGTAAAACGAATGAATTGAGAGTCAGGAAGCAAACGTAATTTTGAAGTACTACTCATTCTTAATGACAGCTGCGTCAAACATACTCAGTTTAATCTATTTGTTAACTCGATTATCATTATTTTAGAATGCTTATTTGGCAATAACCAACAACAGCATTTCACACTACTCAATGTTTTGAATGAATATTTATTTAGTCCTTCATTCGACGGCTTTTTCTGTTTGGTCCATCTGAACTGACCCGTCTAGTTAGCAGTGGTTCATGAGATCTAGAGCACCGCAACTAATGTTTTAAAAAATATACCTTCAGTCAGTTCAATCGATTTTGCTATATTAAATCCAAGACCCGAATTTCTATTTTCTGAGCTCAAAATCTGAAATACTGCTCAAAGAAGATTAATAACCAAAAAATGATTTTTAGAATATTATATCCTTTAACATAACAAAACTAAAACAATGCAGGATGGGCTGAATATCGACCAACCTTCTCGAAATCATTCTGAACTACTGAACTGGTGCGATCATGGCCAGCACTTGCAATCTCGAATGAGCTATCCGATGTAGGAAGAGTCTGATAACCAGAATAACGATCTTCGTCACTTTCGGATAAATCCGATTTTGTGTCACTTATATCGTCTACAAAAACAACGGTGAAGTGCAATAAAAACTCAGTAATCAAACTAATATGAATCTGAACACAATTTCTGCTCAGTTTGAAATTTCCATATTTAGTTCATTTTTCGATTCGAAAGCTCATCTATCATTAAATGGTAAATCGGTTTGCCATTATTTCAAACGTGTTGTCAACTATCAACTTCTGAATCCATCACAAGGTTTAGATTTCATTGGGTATCATTATAACATATGTTGTGAAAAAGCACTTCTTTTCTCAAATTTTTAATTGAAAATTTCATTAGAGTAAAAACTTGCATATACCTCCACTATCTCCATACTCTCCGACACCAGTGCCATGCATTTCAACTCCGTAGCCAATATGCCAGTCATCATCACTTCCTCGATCGCCATCAAAAAAATGTACTTTCGTTAATACAGAACCTCTGTTCACACTTATTTAACAAAAACTATATCTCAGAACTGAAATAAGAGTAAAACTATTGGTCATCAAAGAAGCATTCATCGTATATCAGATTCAGTATGCTGCGTACCAATCAAAAGTACAAAAATATTGAAATGTTCAAATTACGGTAAATTATGAATCGCAAATACATAATCCTCACCATTACCATCACCGTCATCTCGTTTCCATGG